TCTCTCTTTCTCTCTCTTTCTCTCTCCCATCTTCTCGTTACGAATAATGAGGCCTATTTATAAAACTGATGAATGAGAAAATGTATAAAGAACAATTTTCAGTCATCAGGTTAATAAACCCCGGAAGAAGTTGGTCATAAATTACCGTTGGAGCGACGCAATTGGCTCTCGTATAAGCGATTCAGAAGAATTAGTCTCGCCTCGAATGTGCTTGCCATTCAATTTTGCCCTTGGTATATATATACGTATATATATATATTTATTTGCAATGCTCACGCGTACATCCATTTCATGCCAAAAGCAAAGCGGTTTCGTAACCCGTTGCATGTATTGTATACAATATATAGTCCTCTGACTATTAAAATCGTGCGATTACAGAAAACCGTTATCATTCCCCTCCCAAAAATATTCTTGCCATGCAAATAAATCCTGTCAGTTGTAAATATTTTACTATACAATCCCTCATTTTACGTGGGAAATTTAAAAATTGTCCTACAACCTGTCCTGAACCTGCATCAAAATTTAAAAAAAAATAATTTTGTTATGGTAATCATTGCCGCGTAATCTAACGGCCCCCATGGGGTTTGTTAGAGCCTCGCTGAAAAACAAGGCTTTGGAGATAAAATTGAATTGAACTAATAATTATATTTAAATTTTTTTTAATTATAAAAGTCGAGATCAAAATTATTAGATAGAAAGACACTGCATTAGCATAAGGCTTTTACTTAAAAAATTATATATTAAAAAATTATAACTTTCTACAAGTTTTAATTATATTCGTATACTGTCACTTTCTGTATCAATTGTGCGCGACAAAATGATGATGATAATAATGACTATGACGACATTTGACGACGACGACGACGACTACAATAACGAAGGACGAATGAACAAAAATAAAAAGAAAAACCACCGGAAGCGAAAAAGGTATTTGACCGTAGAATCCTTTTTATATTTCTTTTCATCGAAATGACTCATGGATAACGTCTTTATAATGAAGGCTTTACTACTCGTCGTTGACTCTTGAAAATAAATAGGCGTTAAATATCTATTTTTTAGAATGACCAAAGATTCATTATATATTGTATTTTGACAAAAGTAAATCTCATCGCCGAGTGAAACATTTTGATTTCATTTCTCTTCTCCTTTTTCTGATTGAAAAACAAAATTAGTCATCCTTTTTTTCGTCCGAAAATCCTAACAATTAAATTTTTCTTTTTCGAATGTTAAAAGTGTTTCGCATAAAAAAAAAAAAAAAAAAAAAAAAAAAAAATTGTCATTAGACGATTGAACATTAATTTTTATTCTTAAATTAAGAAATTAATGAAGTAACATAACAAATTAATTAATTAATTTCAAATTTTAAAAATGTTTCGCATTAAAATAAAAAAAAAAAAAAATTTGTCATTTGACGATTGAACATTAATTTTTATTTTCAAATTAAGTAATTAATTAATTAATATAAAAAAATAAATAACGTATGACATTAATTGATACAAAATAATTAACATTTATAAATTAAAAAATTAATCAACTGATAAATTAATTATTAATAGTTGATAATAAATTAATTTTTTAGAGTTCAAATTTTGTAATGATAAATTAATATTATTTCCCTGGCAGCAATAATTTCTTAAATTACAATTAATGTAAAATAATTAAAAATTTCTTTTATACGCGAATAATGATAATTTATCCCCTTTTTCCACGATTCATTAACATCACAAAAGAAATCTATGTATAAATAAATTGCAGCTGCATTGACTGGCGCGATTTACAATCGACACGCGCCAAGTCTCACTTCCGTCGATCATTATTATTATAAAGCGTCGTCACCGGCATCACACACAATCCTGAGAAATTGATTAAAGAGGATGTAAATTCTAATCTTGATTGTTAGTAACTTCTTTTTTTTATTAGCATTTTTTTCTCTCCTTTTTTTTCTCATCGAGAGTATAAATAATAAATTGTAGAAACTTTAAAAAGCTAAATGCAATTATAGTAATAAAAGAAGGATTTCAATAAAAAAAATAAATTTCAATAAAAAAATAAATTAAAAAAAATACATTTCAATAAAAAAAAAAAAAAAATGGTAATTTAAAAAAAAAAATGAAATGGAAAAAACAAAGTCATTAATCTTGCGTATTTAAAATGATTTCACTCTCTAGCGTGAAATAAATAATAATTTTATATTCTATATTTAATTTTAAATTACGAGCAATTATTTACAAATGAAATAATTAACATTTGTGTATATTATTATTACGTAAAAATCGTTATGAAAAAATATGAAAAGTTTAATGTATATTAGATATTTCTAAACACCTGATAAACATAAAATTTGATTTAGAGAAGAAAGAAGAAATTAATTTCCTTTTATTGCTTAGATCTTGTTTGAAAAATTATTACTGCTTCTATTTACAATTATCTATGGAAATTTTTTTTTTATCGTAATGTGCGAAACAGTAAAAAAATGAAAATATTAATTAAAACAACTTCTTTTATAAATAAATATTTATTTAATTAAATTAAAAAAATTTTTTTTGCATTTTGTTAAAAATTTATTTAAAAAAAAATTTTTGTTTTAAAAAATTTAAAAAAAAAAATTTTTTTTTTTAAATTTTGAATTTCTATTAATTTTAAAATTGCTGATTTTATTTAAGAAAAGTAAGAAGTTATCCCTACGCGAATTGTTGCCAGTTGATAATTATTATTGAAAGAAGAAAAATAATAATAAATGCAGAAGACAGATAATAAAAATGAAGACAATTAAAATGTCATCAAGGTTGAGGAGAGACAATGATGAGAGAATCGTGAACTTGAAAGAAACAAGTCACGACGGAATATTTCTCTAGGAGCGGACACACCAGTGTTGTTGTTGCTGTTGTTGTCGTTGTTGTTCGATCGCAAACGAACAAGAAAATCTCAAGTCTAGGTTATCACGAGCAACATCTTTGAAAAACGGTATACGTTTCAAGATTTCCAAAGAAGATGATCAAACTAAGAATCGCAAAAAAATTCTCTTTAACATTCCTATTCATCATCATATAACACAAAATTATCTGCTATTGAAATTTTTTTTCATTCTTTTTTGAAAATTACTTTTATACAAAAATGCCTGATCTATTATTACGAGACATTAAATAGAGAGAAAGTAATATGAGTTTGGTTTTGAATGAAGAAATAAAAAAATTTCAATGCCAATGTGAAGGTTGCTTACATTCCAAAGACACAACCATTTAATGTGGGAGTGGCTTTGAACCAAGGTGTAATTTTGTCTCCAACCCTCATTTACATTTTAAGAGGCATTTTCATGCCTTCTTTGTATTTATTTTTTAATTCACTTAACACTCCTCTTAGTTGATAGTTTTCAACTCTAAAAATTAAAAAAAAAAAATTTAAGAAAAGTTTGTTTTAGTTTCTTGTATTTATGCAACAAAAAATCTGGTTTACTTAATATTAATAAATAATCCTATTTTTCTCTTCTTAATGTTGATATTTTTTAACTCTAAAAAAAAAAAAAAAAAAAAAAAAAAGTTTTCAAGAACATTTTGTTTTAATTTTTTACACTTTTGCAACGAAAAAATCTGGTCCACTTAATATTAATAATCCTATTTTTATGATTCAATTAGGTCGAATTTTTATATTAAAAAAAAAAAATTTTTAATTCTTTACATTTTTGCAGAAAATATTTTCTTATTCGTATTTCGTAATTTTGTTTCCACTGTTCGAAATTAATTAGAGAATTTTTATTATAGACAAAATATTAAAATCATTGTGTTCACGACCGAATAGAAAAGAGTCGTAAAAATTTTTTTTGCCAGGAGTAAAACAACATAAATAACGAGCGAAAGTGATTTGGAAGTCAAAAGTATCAAGATACAGATGAATAATAAAAATTGTTAAGAATATACGAGATATTATTTTTAACTACCAGTCATTGAGTGGAAAAATAATTAGCAAATAATTTCTTTTCACTTATTATAATAAATAAAATAATTTTATTGATAATTTCTTATATAATTAATTATAGATTTACAATTATTTTGCCAATAAAACAGAAGTTTAATCGACCACAAATATATGTTTATACAAAGTTATGATCCACTCGATTTATTCCAATCTTTATTATTATTATCCATCGCTGTATTATTGCTTTTACTGTGTGAAATATTTCCCATAAATTATTTACGCCAATAGAATGCAATAATTCTTCCCTCGTTCACAAAAGTGAAACATTTTTATTATTTTATAAAAAAAACTGTAGGTTTTTTTTTTTTTTTTTTTTTTTAATATTAAACAAGTAAATTGAATTCGGAAAAAGTTTTTAAATATTTCATACTTATTTTTTAATCATTATAGCCTGTTTTTTATTTTTAAGAAATTCTGATAGAAAAATATTTTTTTGCTTTGGGTGTGAAAAGTAAAAAATGCTAATAATGTGAGATCATTTCTTTTATAGAAAAAGAGAAGGTGACGTAACGCAAACTAATTGTCCGTTATTTATATGGTATACCTAAGAGATATAGAGACATGAATATTAATGAGATTGTTTTTTTTTCATTTTAAATACGAGTGTATTATTTTCACTCCCAACTGCTGTTTTATAAACTGTAACGAATTAATAAAATAACGTAAAATTATTCGCGTAAAAAGAGAAATTCATGATTTTATTGCACGAAACGTAATACACACACTAGTTTTAATAAGATTACGAAGAAAAGTAATTATTACCACTCAGATTTTTAATTATTTTAAATTGTATTTTAAACTTCATTTATATTTACTTTATTATTAATATTAACATTTTTACTTATTATTACTTAATTAAAGGATAAATTTCAATGTCCCCCCTATGGATTTGATAAGGCAAGAAAAAAATCCCTTTTCTGTTACTTTTATCCAACAATTGAATGAGCGTGGCTATTGTAAAAGTTTTAAAATGACAATTTATCCGCCATGAATGTGACACTAACAGCCAATTGTTTTCTCTGTTACAGCGACAGTGGCAATAGCAAACACAGTGCAAATCGAATGTGCGAGCGAGTCGATAATCGTCCACATATCAACTGAGGGTAATACTGATTTTCATGGTCTGGTTTATCCCAGGGGGTTGTCTAAAAATAGCTCCTGTCTACAGGAGTACAGAAATCAACCAGTACCCATTACCTATAACTTGCCTCTCAGATCCTGCAACACCATGCCCACCGAACTGGTAAGTTGATATTTTTTTTCATTTTCTATTTCCATTGCACATTTGGTCATTTGCATTCTCGAGTGGAGTTTATCATACGGGTTTATTGCTCGATGAAAGTCGTCGTCGTCGTCGTCTTGGAGACAGAAAAAATTAAGCAAAATGTATAAAAAAGGGTAAAAATGATTACGAGAAATATTAAATGTTTAATTTTATATTCTAGGTGAGGTATAAAATTGAAAAAGATGATAAGTTTGTTTGTTTAGTAGCTAACTGGGATAAAAGACAGTTTTATAGGAGGTATTTTTAATGATGAGGGTAAATGGTGGAAATGTAGGTCTAGTGCGCAATTATAAATGGCAGACAGATTTACTGCGCATGTTTACTAGCTACTGGGTGCTACTGCGCATGTATACTAGCTACTGGGTGCTACTGCGCATGTCTACTATCAACTGGTTGCTACTGCGCATGTCTGCTATCTATTGGTAGTTACTGCGCATGTCTGCTACCTATTAGTAGTTACTGCGCATGTCTACTACCTACTGGTTGCTACTGCGCATGTCTGCTACCTATTAGTAGTTACTGCGCATGTCTACAGTCTATTGGTTGCTACTGCGCATGTCCAGAGCCATCTAGTCTCTACTGCGCATATTTACTACCTACTGGTAGTTATTGCGCAGCCTTAAGTTGCCACAGAGCTAGAAAAAAATCGATTACAATTCGTTAAGATTAAGAAAAACTAATACCGATAATTGCCGGTAAAAGATTCCTGTAATAGTCTCCAACCGTTTTACGAAAAAACCAGAAAAGAATCGAGTATAATTCGTCAAAATTAAGAAAATCTAATGCCGGTAACTGCCGGTAGAAGATTCCTGTAATCTACTCCAACTTTTTGACGAAAAAACCCAGAAAGGAATCGATTATAATTCGTTAAAATTAAGAAAAACCAATGTCGGTAATTGCCGGTAGAAGATTCCTGTAATCGTTTTCAATCGTTTTTGCGAAAAAACCAGCAAAGAAAAGAATCGAATTTGAATTGTAAACGTATAAGAACAGTGAGAGGGAGATATTTCTGCAAAGTTTGAAAGATTTGTCAAAGTTGCGAGTTTAGTTTAGACGTTACGATCTAAATGATTCATGTTGGGGGAAAAACAATTTTCGTTGTTTGAACAAACACAGAGAGAGAGAGGTTGGATGTGGTGAAAGCAATATGGTAATCGTTGGTGCACACTTTGGCGTGACTAGCTCCGCTTATACTATCATCCAGCAATGAGATCGTGTTCAACATAAATAATCTAGACGTATTACACGTCACCATAGTGTCTCAAGGTTCGAGAAATCCTAATCGTCTCTTCATGAAACAATGAGAAATTGAGAGATTTACAAGGCGGATAGCCTCCAGGAAGTGGAGCGTTCTCGCTCGACAGCGGCGGCGGTACTTTGCAATATATAGTTGCGGAGAAAAATCTATCAGCGATAATATAGAAGCCATGCCTCCAACGGAAAAACCAGATTTGCAAATAACTGTTTTCTAATCTGTCGCATTTGATATCGGTAAAGTCCTAACGTTATTTTATGAATAGAAGATAATTTTTTGAATAACAATATTTCAAAAACTTGTTCACCTAAAAATCTAATATCTCTCATGAAAAGGAACGGAAATTAAATTTCAGGAGAAGAATCGAAAAAGTATAGGAGAAAAAAAGAAGGGAAACCAATTTGAGCAATACTGATTTCATTCGGACCTGAAGAATCAGGAGGGCAATGCACTGAAGAATGGGAAAAAGTCTTGTAATGGGTGACGGAAAAGATATGGAAACAAGAAGAAAGATTAGAATTGTGAGAATAGCTCCCACACCATCAGGAAGTGAGATCTAAGACACAGACAATATCCCAATTTTTAGGGAGAGATGCGTCCCTAACAAGAGATTCTAATCAAAAAACTTGGAAAGCACATCCATTGGGGGGAATCTGAGTCCTTATTCTTATCTCACACTTGGCGCCTCCGTTAGCTCCATTACGAGCGAATGAGGGAGATAAGATGCTAAGTGATACCGCCTCTGCAATAACGTAACGCCATGTAACCATCTTCACCGATACTTGCAGTCTCATATTCCCTATACAGTAATCACCCATTGGGGTGCTGTAAATACGTCGATGTGAAGATAGGAGTATGGTGTGAATACATGCCCGAGTGTGTGAAAATGAATAGTATTATGTGTTGAAATTAACTACGTGTTGTGATGCAGAGTGCTTTGCTTCCATATAACTGGACCGTTATGTGACCGGACTTATAAACTTGACTTATAGTCGCAAGTATCTCCGGAGGACATTTAGAGTCGTTCGTCCTTAACGGACATGACTCCAGTTTCTAATCGACAGATTTTTGATGATTCCCGATAAGCTGGAGATAATTTTCGGTAAAGACTGAATTATTTCCTTAATGTCCGAACACCAGAAATACGATCATACCTTTCGATCAAAATTGTCAAGTTCGGATAATAATTGCCATTGTTCCTTTACCGTTAGTCCCTTTCCATTATTCATTATTCATGACATTAAGAGATTCATTTCTTGTTATTGTCTCTCCATTGTCGAGGAATGTTTTCAAAGTCTGCTTTATATTCCTTTTAATTAAATGTTCGCAATTTCCATTCCTGCCTTCGAAAACCTGATCTTGAACATCTCCTTAAGCTGCAACTTTTATATTTAGTTACAAGTTTCCAACGTCCCCGCTATACTTGTTATTCCGCATCTTTAACATCTTCAGCTTCTTGATGAAAACACGACTTTACACTTCGCAGACATACCCAGAACATTCGTCGTCCATACTCCTTTACATGCTAATCCCTTTTCTACACTCAAAACATTGTTAATAGCCATTACACGATAAACCTGTTTATGGAATCATTAACTAATGATTACACCCCAATGGTAAACAGATTAATAAGGAATGTGAAGATACTATCCGCAAAAACAAAGATACTAATTTGCTAATTAAAATTGATAATTTTGTTTTGGAAAGATAGATTGGCAAAGGGATGGACTTAGATGCGTTTCCTGTTGTCGACCCAGAGGCTGAGTAATAGTACGAGCAAAAGAAAGGATACAAAGGACATGTAGGAAGTGGAGGCATGAAATATGAGAGGAATTGAGCTGCAATAGCATAAGGGAACCTGTATAGTAGGTGGAATCGGATTGAAATAGGATACCTTTATTGTAATGGTAATGACAATTTTCGAGAAAAATTGCGATTTATCGCATAAGTTGGGAATAGATGCTTATTTATCTCACACAGCAGGTGTGAGTAATGGAGAGCTAGGGGCTCAAGGAAGAATATAAAGGAGCCGTAGGATAAGGAAGAGGGAACACTGGAGATAAATACAGGATTTAAAAGCTTGCGAGAAAACCCAGGCTGTGCGTAAAATAGTCAGAAACATATGGTAAATAAGTACATCAATTATATTCCTAAGGAAATACTAGAAATTGTTCCTAAAAATTGTTATTTGTTCAAACAACCATAACTTAAGTTACCTTAACGTTTGGGTTAATGATGAATTCCTTTGATGAATTTGGTCCACCTTAATGTTTGGACCAAACAAAACCCAAAGTTTCATTTGGTCCAAACATTAAAGCAGACCAAATTCTTCAAGGGAAAGGAATTCTGCTTGGTAGTAATTGTAGTAATTGATATTTACGAATTTATGGAATAAATTTATCATGATGAAAGGGGGCTTGGGAAAGGTGGTTGTGATAAATAACGTCCGCAGTACCTCCCCTATGTCATGTGCAAAGGGACATTTACCTTAGGCATACGAATTGCCTTCTCTCGAGGATACGAATTGTTCCGCGACTTTAGACGTAATGCGAGGTCACGCCGAAGTACCAGCAGAGTCTTTGGCCTCGCTGTATGGGCGATCCTGAGGTCACGGTGGGCGTTTCAAATGCCGTGGGCAGTTTTACCTTCGAGGATTGTTATTTACACATATTCTCCACGATGTGACTCTGCTGCTATACAACTGCAAAACCTTTAGAGTTATTTGTCAAGAGCTGACAACAATGCAGATATACGTAATTTCAGACAAATTATCAAGTTACTTACTTGGCACAAGTTACTTACTTGACCCAAGTTACTTCGTAACTCTTTCCTATTTTTTATGTCTGCAGTTCGTTCCGATTAAAAGCAAGAACCAAAGAAACTCAGGTAGCGAAGAGCGAACGAATCTTCTTTTTCTGCTACTTGAACGGATCAGATGTATCGTTTAATCTCTCTCATGGTATCCAATTAAAGCCTCCTTCCTGATATTCTCGGTTTTTTAACAACATTTATTTTCTTTTTGGGAAAAAAAGTAATTGGAGCGATAAAGAGAGATCTGATCTGAAAACATCAAACTGATTAGCAATTATAATCTTTTTTTTTCTGTTTTGAAACCAAAGGGAGAAATTGGGGGATGATGGCATTAATTCTTGAAATGTGAAATCTTCGCCGAAAGCCATGTTCACGAAGGCGCTGCATGAGTAAAAGCAAAGGGTGCTATTACCGGCGAAAGATGAACGGTTCTTAGGGCAGATTATTGCCAGCTAAAAGCCCGCTTCTTGGAACGAATTCTCTCACGCGCGGGCTACGATTAGCGAGGAATGGTTTAGTTACACTCTCTCTCTCTCTCTCTCTCCCTTTCTGCCGAGGCGAATCGAGAAGAAGTCTACTTACGTCCTAGGGACCGAGATTCGATCACTGAAAAATATTTTCCACAAAGAAGATACACTCCAATTATCTTTGATTGTGAATGCTTCTTTGTGTCAGACTGTCGAGGGGCTTCGTCATCTAAGCGAATACTAATCGAATTCAATCCTAATACTTGAGGGAAAGATTTGATCAGATTTTTCATCTGATTCTAAATTTGTTTTCCCTGATCTTCTGAAAATCCGGAACAATTCATACTGTAATTATCATTAGAAGAAAATTCAAGCCTACGCACTGGAAGTTGGGTACAGTTAGCTTATTAGAGCCTCGAGCTTAG